CATACCTTCCTAAAAAAACAATAATTGGTATTTCAAGACAGCGTAAAGGTGAGTATCCGTCAAATTGTAGGATTTAATGAAGAGGATAGGTGACAGTTGGGGCGGTTATAAGGTTTCGTTGAACCACACAATCCCGCTAGCTAGTGGAAGGGGAAGACAAAGGAATGAGTCATGACGACGAATCGGAGAAAGAGTAATCTCTAGTGTTCCAGAAAATGGACTTACTGAAGCGTTGAGTGAGATTGCGTGTGAAGTCAATGCAGGTAGCATTGTCGTTCCATGCGTTATTGCAGTACGTCCAAGGAAGAACACTATTGAAACTGTAGAAAAGGTAGAGCAAACTCTGCGCCACAATCACGTTGTAGTAGAGAGAGAGTAACCAGGAGCCCGCAACCATTGCATAGCCAATGCCTGCAGGGTAATACAAGGTCAAAAAACACTCAATCGCCCACTCTTTGTTCAATAATCCACTCTACATTCTTAATCCTGTCTCCATTTAGTACTTTGACTAAATAAATTAGCTGAACCAGTTGGCTGCAACTATGTTGAAATCCGACGTGCCTAGAATGTGACAACTATGGAAACCTTCAACTCCTTTTGCCTTCCAACAAATTAGTTAACCGCGTAAGCCTATAAAAGGGATTATGTAGCTCTATAAAATTGGATCGTATATGGTCTAGCAATAACAAATAAGCTCAACCTGTGACCTGTAACTCATTTAACGCCCCTTCAATTAAAATGGTGAAGACGTTTTGATTACAATCCAATGAGAAATTTGAGGACGCTTTGAAAACTACACAGTTAACAGTAAAGGAATACTCCAGTCACTTCATCATGAAACATTATTCATCCTTTTTTGATACATCTATCGAAAATATGCAGATTCCAAGGGATAAGAAACGTATCTTTGGCTATCAAATAACACCTTTGATCAACTTCCTCCGCATCCATGTAATTTGGAAGCTAGAATTTGGTTAGAAGGTAAAAGCTCGTAGGTTCACTATTCTATTCTATTCTATTCAGTCAGCAACTTCATACCCAAAGGCGGATTCGCCAAATAAAACTGCGACATTTGAGATCAAATTGTGATTACCCCTTCCAGTTAAATTATGCGTATCATGACCAATTGGCCTTACGCATTTTCAAGGTCCAACCAAGCGCTTAATAGTACAAGTATCGGTTCCATAAGAACCCAATCAGATTGGGATTAAATGTCAACAGAAAACTGTTTCAACCTTGTCCAGAATGGGCACTAAATGCGCAAGGCGGCAAATTAGTGACCTGTTAATTGTTCAGGCAGTCACATGAGAACCTTTTAAGTACAAAACCAATTGCAGCGAAGTAGGACCCTCGTGAAAGAACGCTTATTTTTCTAAATGTTTAGCATTTATTGAACGTGTCTAGAAGGTATGCCAATGTAGGAAGTATTTACGCGGGTAAACTAGTGACAAAAAGAGTTACATTGAACACAAAACATGTAGTTGGCTGGTACAGATTCAACCGTATATTTAATCGTGGAGTTTAAGAGGTATTATCAGGGGTACCAATTTCTCAACCTTCGTGTACGTATATATGAGACGTACGTTTTGACTAATACACCCTTCGAAGACTAGTTGTATATAGAAGCAAAACAGCTCCTGAGAGGTACTACCGAATAATTCCAAATTATTACCACTTAAAGTGAGTGCCAGATTGTAGAGGTTATCATCAGCAGGCCTACATGTCACAAAAGCATTCAATTTAACCTATTTATGCCAAATCACTGATCCAACCTTTGAAGAGCGGACTGACATTCCATATAGAGATGGGACCCAAACTGGCAAACTGTCCGAAAGCGAATTCGAGGAAGAAAAGCGGCAGACCCACAAGAGCCAACATCACCAGATAGGGTAGCAGAAAGGCACCTAAAAGGAGAAGGCAGAAATAAACCAGAAACGCGGTAAATTCACTGTCCTTTTCGATGCTCACATGATTAACGAAGTTTATTCCGAGGTCAAGGGTAGATGAAGACTTGCTCAAACATGTACCGTCTCAATGGGAAAAGTGTTTTATATAGGAAGCGGCACGACCACAACTGTTGTTGTTAATTCAACTAACGACCTACTATCATTTTTAACCAATGCTCAAATTCCGCCTTTTAAAGCTAAAATAGTAAAGACAATCGATTATCCAGAAGCGAGAGCACTCACCACCGCCGTTCTTGTGACAGAGATAGGGAAATCGCCAGACATTACCAAGTCCGACGGCATAGCTGATGCAGGAGAGAACAAACTCGAATTTACCGCCCCAAGTTGCTCTATTGATAGGCTGAGCCTGCTGATATGTGACATGCATCACTCCATCGCCATCAACCTTTAGAATGAGAGTAGAGCAAAGCACGAGGTACCGAAAATTGTTTGTGCTAACAAGAGGAGAGCAAACGTTAAAATGTATTGTCTGTGGTTGCCACCACCCATAAATCAAGTATCCCAAAAAACTTTAGTGAACTTGGGTGGGTAGTACAGAGCAGCATTAATACAAAGTTAATTAAGAGCCTAACACCATAGTTTAGTAACAGCAATGATTGTTGTTTCTGAATAAAGATTCAACAAAAGGATAACAGTGAGAGAATCCTAACTGTCAAGATTTTACATCCACAGCAAGAAAAAAATCTATAGAAAAGTCCAGAAGGAGCAAAATTTACAAAATGAACACCAGATCAACCAATGTACCATTTCCAAAGTGAAGAACAGAACACCACATTGCCTCATGTGGTTCCCCTCAATAGGTTCGCATCCACTACTTTGGCCTTGGCATCTCACCAGCACCAAAACTCAGAGAATGCGGACAATGGTGAGGCAGCCATTGATGATTAGAATGCAAGAAGCAACTCGACTCTCCTCCTACTCTTTATTAAATCCGCCCTCCTCCTTCTCCACTCCCACTTTTACCTTCTCCTATCCTACACCGACACTATGCGCCGCTCACACACCAATGCACCTCTGCAGTCTCCTTCCACACCCTGCACCTCCCCACTCATCACCACCATATAA